CTGATGAATTATTTTCATTCAAATGTTTGGTTTGACATCAGTGGACCTCCTCTTCTGTGTCAGCTGTCCCCAGTCTTCTGAAAACATAGGGTCTGTCAACAAAAGAACATCCAGCCTATGAAAAGTTTTTTAAGAGTTTATTTGAGTGAAAACTGATGACAATTGCTGGTAAGCAAAATCTCAATGGTTTGAGAAAATGCTCAGGAGAATGGCAGTTTTGCTGCTTATTTTATACATTAGAATCAAAGGAGGACATGTAAGGAGGGCTACATGAAATTCGTTGGGGGTACATTAAGGGTGACAAGAGAAAGCAAAGTGGGCAGGGGAAGGGGGAATCTCTGAGACTGGAATAAAAGCAAAATGAAGAGACACATACTTCTTTTACATTGGTGGGTCAGGATAGTTTACGTTTACAGTACATAGAGATGCTGTGAGGGCAATAAGACAACAGCGGGGTCTCGTGCTCTGTTGCTGGGCAGTTCGAGGGTACATTAAGGGTGACAAGAGAAAGCAAAGTGGGCAGGGGAAGGGGGAATCTCTGAGACTGGAATAAAAGCAAAATGAAGAGACACATACTTCTTTTACATTGGTGGGTCAGGATAGTTTACGTTTACAGTACATAGAGATGCTGTGAGGGCAATAAGACAACAGTGGGGTCTCGTGCTCTGGTGCTGGGCAGTTCGAGGGAAAAGAAAATTACTATGACATTTCAAAGGTATGTTATCTTAGATACACAAAGACCATAGACAAGTTCAAAGGTAAAGACTGACGTTGTCAAGGAAGCTACAGGCCTCGGACAGGACTACCTGCCCTGACTCACTTCTAGTTAGGAATTTTTACATTCAGACAATCCTGTGTGTCTACTTTTGGTTTCTGAGTTTGTAAGGCCTGCTATGCAGGCCTTCCCTGAGCTTCTCTGGTTTAGTATGTGGCCCCTTTTTTGTCCACAGGTCATACCATGTCCTTTATCTTTGGGTGACCTTGAACTGATATGTATTGTGATTTAAGAAATAACAAACAATTCACAGGTCTAGAGTTTATAAACAGGTGTATGGGAAAGAATAGGTGGAATAAATTTTAAAATGGGATGAGTTTAAAGAAAGCAAAAGGAGAAATCTCGCATAAGAGACAAGATGATCTATTAGGTACTTTATTATCTTCGTGTCCAAGGTGGAGCTAGTTAACTCTAAATTACCATGGCATCTGATTCAATAGACTGAGAGTTAACAGATGAGGTCCGTGATGCACTGTGCCAATGTTTTATAGAAATGTCAAGATCAATTTTACTGAAATGCCAAGATCAATTCTTTTGCCAAGTTTTTCCTAAAACAGAATTTAGGAAGGTATTTGTTATATACATATGAATTGACAAGTAGGCTACTAACAGTGGTAAACTATCTAAAGTGTAGAACCTTTTATATATGATTTCTATATGTATTATTATGATTAAAATACAGTCAAAGGACTGCATCTGATGTTCTGTTCATTATTGGCACAGATACTAGATAAATGTGATATTTGGAAATGTGTCTACTATATGTGTCAAGTGTGTGAAAATATGTAATCCTTGAATTATTCTGCTCATCTGTATTATGTGTCTATGAATTTTTCATCCTAAAATTTATGGATTCACCTTTCATGCTTCATTCTGGCAGAGCTGAATGTCTTATGCAGAGCCAGCTGGGTAAATTCTTAGGATGTGCAACCAGTAAACAGATTCTTGAGACAGGTACCCTACTGCTATTCCTTCCTACTCTAAAAAAGCTGAGGCATACATACCCCTCCAGAGATTGAAATTGTTTGAGCCTGCTTAGTATGCACAAAGTTGCTTTAAGCTTTACAGTTTGTCTTTCACTGACAGTATTTCCAGTAAAAAATCTTTTGGGGTTATTCGGACTGTATTTTAAGAGCTATACCTCGACTCAATCCCTGCTCCTCACGGTAACTTCTCTATGGAAAAGAAAGTAAATATCAAGCTGTATTTATAAATATCTCATCACCGTGTGCTTTGCAAAAGGGAACAATCAGGAACAGTCATATATCCAACAAAAGGGAAATGGTTGAATAAATTATAGTACATCACTTTATCTAAAATCATAATTACAGGAACTATTTAGCAGCATGTTTGGATGGCGGTTAGTGAAGAGAGCAGTTTAAAACTGTTCTTTATGGCAACTGTGTACAAATTATATAAACAAGATCAGAGGCTGGAAAGCAATGTGAGATTTTAGGTGACTTTTTTTCTGTTGATATCTGTTTTGATGGCAGACAGGAATGAAAGTAGGGGTGACAGATGAGACTGCAAAGCTGGGCAAGGGCCATTGGTCATGGAAAGAGAGGATTATGCTATATCATGTCAAGCTTGAACTTTATCCAGAGAAAGACACAATCAGATTCGTACTTTGAAAAAATTGGCTGCTGTGTGGGGAAGGAGTTGGAGCAGGGTGAGGGTGACAGTAAAGAGACTGACCAGTTGGCAGGCCTGACCTGGGCAATGCCTTTAGTCACAAGAAATGTGAAAGATTCATGGCAGGGGTATTATACTAGCACCTATCCCAAAATACTACTAGTGCACTTTAAGATTCTTGAAATATGTGTCAAGTGTAAATTTCATTCTACATATATTTCCATCTATATGCAGATCTTTAAAATGTATGCATATGTGAAACCCATCTGTCTCAGGAGTATTTGGAAAATCCTAGCTGAAAATACTGACAAATTGTTAATAATAAGATAAATAGCCCCATCGCACATTCTTATTGAACATTTTATTTGAATTGTCATAAAATTTCTCTCAGTCTGACCATCTTAAGATGATCAGATTGTAATGGAATTGTTTTGCTGTTGCATATACCATGGTGGATGTTTGTTGAGCATTCATTGCATTTATATAGAGTTACATTTCTAAGTACTGTCCTAAAGTTTATTTGTGTCCTGCCTGATTCCAGAAAACATGGAGTGCACCAACACTGGGGTTACAAATCCTGGGTTTCAGAATGTTACTGATTCTTGACTGTCCTTTCTCGTTCATTTCCCTGAGCCAGCCTATCATCTTGCCCTAGCCAATTCGTTCTACATTTTAACTTCTTCCTTGCCACCATCCTGCACACATAGTTCAAGCCCTTATCATTACTCTCCTCCTTGTCTCTTTACGAATAGTATCACTTTAGTTTCCTAATCAAAAATGTAAAAAATTGGATTAGATCTAGGCAGATGCAGTTGGTAATATATAAAGGGATATGCAAATGGTAGTAGTTGTTATTCTTTCCAGTTTTAAAATTCAGTGATTCTATGACTGCTGAAATATTTCATTTGAAAAGAGACCACATGCTGTTTTTCTTCCATTTTCTTTCTCTAACAATAAATCAGTGCATATTTTTTGTGTGAGAGATTACTTTAACTAGTAAGAGGCATGCTTTTTATGTTTTTTTAAAGTTTCGCATATATTATACTTTTTTAATGTGATGAGAAACTCAGTGGAGTAAAAATTAGATGATTCAAGAAAGGCACTATGAGACTAAGTTAATAAAAGAAGTTAGAATCTACAAAATTAAATATAATTAACCACTTTATTTGCATAACTATGTCCCCTAACTACCACCTTGGCTTACATGCCTGAGAGATTAATTCCTACTGTGAATGACTTTGGGACACTTGGGGGGAGAAAACTAATAGCTTCTATACCAAATACGTTGCTAGAGAGGGAAGGCTTAGGAGCCACACCAGTATGACAGAAGCTCAGTAGAGATTAAGCAGGCATATCCTTGGCCAGACGCCCATCCGCGCAGAGACCAAATGCCAGCAGCTGATTTCTTAGCATAGAAACTGATGGCTAATTTCACCCTGGCCCTAACCCTGCCTTTTCCCTTTCCTGCTCACAGCCCACATCCTGTTACTCTACTGTTCAGCAAGATTTCTCAGTCAGGCATCATTGTGCCTTTGTGTTTCCTGATGGTTGACCAGACCCTGAATGTGGAAGCCCTCACGGCCAGGGTCCCCGCGCGCTCTCCCCAGGGTACACCACTCCTCTGCACAGAGACATTTGCCTGTGCTGTGGTGATAACATTTGAAGGGTAGTCATTTGCAGTAGTTTAACTTTGAGGGAAGTCATGACCCTTTTTGAGAATCTGTTGAAAACTTCGAGCATCTCCCCAGAAAAATAAGCATCCATTCAAATATTTGCGAGCAAATTTAAATGGTTCAGTACCCATCTGGTCTCCCATGTGAGAGAGTCTTAGAGCTCATACGAAGGACCCCTGATTTCTAAAGTAACTTTAAAGTTTTGCTTTCAAGTTCAGACATAACTTTATTTGCACAAACAATACTCAGCACTGTATTTTTTTATTTGTAGCATTTCTTTGCTAGTTAAATATTACGTACCACTGACTTTAAAATTCTAGCGAAGAAATTATTTGGATAAAGAAAAATAATGCCTAATCCTACTAATACTAAGATTTTGTGTTTCAGGTCTGACTACAGCCACATGTCTTCCACCAGCAGTAAGTATGGTTTAAATGTCCTTTAGCATTGTCTTCACAGTCCCCCAGGGGTCAGTCTTATCTATGCATGTAGAGAAAGCCATCTATGTGACTCATACTTTAATGGTAAGACTCACTGAAGGTATACTTGCCAAAGAATCTGAGACAACAGATCTTCTATCTCTGGAAATGGGGCCTTTCCTTATGGACACTCAGCCTGGAGGAACTAGCTTTATTAGTACAAAATGCTTCTAAAACACCTTCTCTGAAGAATTTAAGGTAACTCATTCATTCAGCAAATACTTATCAAATACCTGCTGCCCGAAGGCTAACAGCTCAGAGCACTTTCGTTGGATCTGTGGGGTGGCCTCAGCTCATCTGTTGGGCAAACTTCCTCCCTATGACATCTGCAGGCAGATGTCATAGATAATTACTGTACATGGTTAAAAAAAAAAGATTGGGAATATGTTTATAAACATACTCTGAGCATAGAAAAAAGTGCCTCTACATTAAATATTAAATTACAAGTAAATCCATTTATGGGAAACAGGCTTTACATCTACGAACAATTTATAGTGATTAAGATCACTGTATAAATGACCAAAGCCATTCAAACATTTATTTTAAAATAACAAAAAATTCTTATAATAAATTCCTGATGTTTTGAGTTAGGACAAAACACTTCAGTATTCACTATCTCACTATCCTGTTAAACTCTCAGTTCAAAGTAGTTCCCAATTGGAAAGACATTTAATTGGATTATTCTGTTTACTGATGTTCTGGCTTAGTTTTCCCTTGCAATAAGAGACTGTGCAGAAAGCTGTAAATCTGAAATTGTAATTTAGTGTCAAACTATATTTAGTTATTAGTATAACTGCAAGGAGCATCTTCTGCTCATTTCAGCCAACTGGAGACTCAGCATTGCCCCTTCGTTATTAAGAACCATTAGTAATAATGAGAATAATGCTCCAGTGATTTGCATTCATTCCCTGAAGCTTTTGCATTCCTAAAATCAGAGCAAGCTCTCTTGAACTCTCTCTCTGTGCCACCATTTTCATTCCGGTTTTGCCCAGAGGCTATATTTTTTAAAGAATTATTTTTATAAAATACTTGCCCCAAGCCTTTGCTCAATTTGTAGCTCCCTAATCAGCCCTCTGGGTCACAACAAAGCACCTCTCTTGTCAGAGAAACCAGTAATTTGGTTTGGGATGTTTTCCTCTCCATTATTTTAATTGCAATCTCTGAATTGGAATTTCTCTTAGTGCAGCTGGGATCAATAGTTTTTTACTGCTCTTTATTTTCTCTTTAAATATTTGGTGATTCCTGTCTCACCATTTAGTGTTGGGGCTGCTTAATGAGTGAGGATGTGTATGTATGTATACGTATTTCATATTTCAGTTAGGAAATATATTTGCTTACAAATAATATAGGAAAAACAATGACTTGAGCAAGTAGGGGTTTGTTTTCCTTTGACATTAAAAAAGAAACACCCAGAGGAGAGAGTGTAGGTGCGGTGTAGAAACTCTTTCAATCACTCTGCTGCACCATCCTCAGTTTTGGCTTCCAGCCTCAGGGTTGCCTCAGAGTCACAAAATGGCTGCCTCCACCATAGCCATCACATCCTTGTTCTGGGCAGGAAGAAGGGGTGAGTGGATACTGGTGGGCCCCTGGCTGTCTTTGCCTGGTATTTTGCCTGGCCTGCCTTTCCTCCCAGCCAGAAACATGAATCCTGGCCACACTCATACTCAGGAAAAGGCCCCTTAAGCAGTCAGTGAAAGGTAACAGCGTGGACCCTTTCTGAAAAGGAAAAGGAAAATTTAAGTCTAGAGTTTTAAATCTATCCTTTAAAACAGTGGTCCCCAGCCTCTGGGCCGCGGACCACTACGGGTCTATGACCTGTTAGGACCTGGACCACACCGCAGTAGGTGAGCAGTGGGCAAGCGAAGGTTCATCTGTATTTGCAGCTGTTCCCCAGCGCTAGCATCACCGCCTCAGCTCCACCTCAGATCATCAGATATTAGATTCTCATAGGAGCACTGGTCTCTGGTACCAAAAAGGTTGGGGACTGCTTTAAAACATAAGTTCAACGGCACTGCAATTTAAAAAAAAAGTATTTTCCGAGTAGATTTTAAAAATAGTATCTCCCCACAAACTATATAATCATACTCAGAGGACTGAGTAGAGTGAAAGGTAATGTGTTTACTATCTACTCTGAATGATTCACTTCCGGGGTCACTCTCCCTTCACAACTGACTTGGTGCCAGTGCCCACGTGTGACCAGCAGGGCCCAGAGGTCTGACTGTCGCAGGTCTTTCCCACTTGTTGATCCTGGGAGCAGCTCCTGCATCTCATTGTCATTCCATTGCCCTGTCAGCCTCTCTCCGCTCAGTGGCTTGTTTCGGAATGATTCCCACGTCCTGATAGGGATTCGAGCACTGGTTCTAACCATTCACTGTTACGAAATGAATTTTCCTGTCTGTGAATGGTTCTTACTCAACATTCATGTGATGCTCCTTTCCCTGTTTGTTCCTGTATTCACAAGGACATAAATGCTTCCTTGGGGTGAGCTAGGGTTAGAGTCTGTTTATCCACAGTTGGTTTTTCTCCTTACCGCAATGATCAGGAAAGCTTTCTCCAAGAACAGCAGTAACTGTTTAGTCATCTTTTCCCTCGGAATGCAAGGGTTGCTTCCTCATGCTGCTTGTGCCTGATGGGAAAAGAAGAGAGGTCATCAGCAAAAGTACAAGACTTAGTTGTCCTAGGCCGTAGTCCTGGGTCCACCATGACTGAGCGGTATACCCTCAAGTCAGTTACCCTCTCTTAGCATCGCTTTCCTCATCTGTGAAGGAGATGTTGAGCTGGATGGCCTCTAAGGACCTTTCCAGAAGCTCTGGGATGCTATGATATAAATATCCTAGAAATTCCTCTAAACAGAGAAGAGAAGAAGGAAAAATGGAGGAGAGGAGGGAAGGAGTGAAGAATTGAGGAATCTGTACCTTTTTTCTTTGTCCCCAAATAGAGTTTGGAAGATGAGCATTCTCTCTGGTAGCCTGTAGCATCAATCTGCAGAATCAACCTGAGCTTCTGTACTGTGAGCTGCCTGTAAGTTGGTGGCAGTAGAGACATTGTGGTGAGGGGCAGTCAATGCTTTTTAATCCCTCTCGCCTCAAAAAAATGGACAAAGTATGGGACTGGGGAGGGCACGTGTGTTGCTGGACCCTGTTTTTACCCCATCTTATGGATCACGGAATTGCATCTCCACTGTGTCCGATGGATGTCACTTTCAACTCTTGGGGAAGTGGCTGAGCAGACTTCTTTAATGGATGGCTTGGTTTTGTGTGAGTGAATTTTTTCTAGTTGCGATTGATCCATTTGTCTTTCCAGATTGACAGGGCAGACAGGCTTTCTTTATGCTTTCTGCAGAGCCAAACACTATTAGCACTCAGGAGATCTCAATAAGTCATAATACTTCCCAAGGAAGACAATAATTTAAACTCTCAGAATTTTAGGTTGTTTTTCCGGAATCCTGGTAAGAAGATCATCAAGCCACTATCTACAATTTGCATTCTTAAGTGAGTTAAATAAAAAGGGGAAATTTTATTAACAAGGTAAAAGAAAAACAATAATTATGCCAGGATGGAAAAATCAACTGTGCCACATAATGCTAATGAAACTTCCATCATGTATGATTGACTTTCCATTCAAATAAAAATTATAATTATACTTGGAGAACTACTCTCAGAAGATGCAGGGAGTTTTTAAATGGTATTTTTAGAACTGTATAAATTTCTCGAGGATTTCTAGCCCCAGGATAATGCCAGTAAGAAGTAGCCAAAGAATGAACGAGTTCTATTCGAAACTGTTCTCTATTCGCCCTCCTAATTTGTGCCCTAAAATTATTCTTTCTCAAATATCAGGTGTAGTCATTGACCCTACCTGGCCCTTGTGAACTGCTGGG